TTTAAGGATTCGTCGCTGTTATATATATGTACATCGTACAGCACGAAAAACATACGGATTTATCGATTGCAGGGACAGGCGATGGTTTTACGATGTGTAAGCACGCGGCTACTATATACATCGATATATTTAAATCTTCGTGTATGCATATATATTCCAGTGGAGGGAGGGGGGGGGCTTGAGCCGTGGTTCAAGCGTATATTGGATAATATGGGAGGCACATTTTTTAAAATAGTTTCTTATGGTGACAGAAATTTTTTCCCTCTACGGTATTATTGAATTTTAATGTTATTAATGTTCTACTCCAAGTAGCGTGAAAAACGCGCAAAAAATATATACATATTTGAGTTCTGAAGTTATTATCGTGACCAAGCAAACTTATTTAGCGTCAGAGTCACGTCAACTCGTTTGTCTTAACTGTACTTTCAAATAATAAAATATATCCTTGGGTTTACTTAGGTTCGAAACTTTTATCGGCTCCTTTATAAACATTTTTTTTTTTTTTAATATCACGACGTGAAAAAGTTTTATGCAATCGATCATATTTACTCAAAGTCGAAAAAGTTTAATACTCTAAATTTATTCTTTTCCAAAGATTATCCTTAAATTAAGCACCGATTGACATCGAAAAATGTTGTCATGTAATTAAAGTTCGATATTGCCTTGGGAAACTAATCTTGTCACGACTATTCACTTCTTATTATCATCCTCAAGTCAAATCGAATCGCCGACCCAAAAACATGAATGGAAAAAAAGGTAACAAATCATATTCGCAACGCCAGACGCATCTACATAGTTTTTTCTAACTCGCACTTAAAAACGTTTATCCCGTAAATCCTGTTTTCACGTTGCAACGTAACCCACACACCGACCGTTCGTCAATGAAATACCCCATTTGCTCCCCACAAAGGTACGTCCGAAAAGTCCCAGGGAGTGCGGACTCAATCGCTCGGCCAAAACGACTTCTCGCCTTCAATCATGAACGAGAGAAGCTCGCAAAAAAAAAAAAAAAAAAAAAAAAAACATCCCCGCTGTTACTCAGCCGCGATAGGAGCAAAAACGAGGCAGGTAGGAGAGCACGAGCGCGTGATTAAACGTCTCGATCGATCCGTCACTGCAGTGCCGAATAATCCGCTGTTTTTTTTTCCACCGTCCATCCTTTTTCCGCCTCCCTTTCCCTCGGAAATTTAATTAACGAACCTCGAAAAGCTCCCGGCTCGCCCACCCGACACGCCTCGGAGCTCCCCCTGCGCGGCGATTACCCGGCGATGCGTGTCGAGAAAATGAAATTAGAGCAAAAAATGAAAGAGATGCGAGTCGCGCGCGCGGGGGACGAAAAAGGCGTGTAACGAGAAAAGGAAGGGGGGGTCCACGCGCGAGTGGCGTGGAATCAAAGTCGCGTCGAGGGTGGCCCCAATGATGACTTGCGGATATATACGTGAGCTGGTGCACACGGGAGTCAGTTCACCACTTCATGATGATTATTGCCGTGCGCTTCGGCACCTCTTTCTCGTGACGAGACAATGGACCGGTGCTACATTATATCCCGTCGGGGAAACTGTGGCTGGTTATACGTTTTTTTTTTTTACCCTCGACTTACCTGGTGCGAGGCGAAGGTCGGTCGCTCGTAAACGCTCTGATTGCCGCTGGCTGTAGTTCCTTTTTTTTTTTTTTTTTTTTTGGTCTTCTGTATTTTCTTGCGTTTGAAATCGTGGCAAGTATAGGTGTACGTGAAGCGAACCAATGCCAGTGAGTAATGGAAACGCGGGTTTTTTTTTCTCGTCCGAGGAAGCTGTATGAATTTTAAAAGGTTATACGTACCAGCTTTCATGAATATTCTGGTTTCTCGAGAAATATTGGTTCCTGCTTTATTTTTTTACGAGCAGCTTATATTACGTTCGAGTACATTCATAACGAGATTCATAATTCAGATTCCCGTGTATTTTGGCCGTTGAAATTCCTCGCTTCTCGAGAGTGCGTATCATATCGTAGACATTCAATTAACGATTCGTCGTCTGTTTTATGTAAAATTTTTTTTTTTTTTCGTGTATTTGAAACGAGAAAAAAAACAACAAATTGGTCGAGGGAAAACACACACTCTTGGCCAACACGATAGTCGAATGGGTAAGAAGAAGAAATAAACGCTGCGTCATTCGATTCATCATCGTTGTTTTATTCTCGTTGTCAATACTTCCTAAATAATATGTACAATAATTTATATCGGTTTCTGGTGTTTTTGTTTTCTCTACATTTACAAATACTCGTATGTTTTTTATATTTTTAAATACCTCTCTACTCGTATTCAGCGCGATTAGTACAGCAATTTTTCGTACTTAGTTTCGATCTTTTTTTTTTTTTTTTTTTTTTTTTTTTTTTCAGTTGAAAGTCTAGTAACAGTTGAATACGAAAAAAATCGCGCAGTTTGGGTTTCACGTGTATGTAATATAATTATAACGTTTATCGTCGTCGTGTCACCCTCTCGATGAGGAGTATGTAGGATACCCATTTTGCATGATAAACGACTACTAGCGCTACCATGTAGACAACACAGAACAAAAAAAAGTTTAAAACTACGGTTAACCACGAATCTGAAAAAAATAATGTGTATTAATTTATATCGCATTGATACCATACATAATTCTTTACAGAAACAGTTTTTCAGTAATAGAAGACGCTGTTTGTTGAAACCTAACTAAATATTTGTGAAATAGTTCTACGACCATTTTTCTGTTTTCTTTTTTTCTAAAAAAATTTGACGTTTTTTTTAGATTTTCATGTTTAATATTAAACTTATCCATCAAAATAGATCACTAAATTTTGCAAGTCAAATTTTAAGATGAACTAGCACCTGTTTATCTTCAAGTACAATATTCCATTTTTTTTGTTCTGTGTAATTGATTACCTTAAATATTGCTATACTGAAAAAATCATGAAACGTCTAATTTATCACAAAAAATTTTGAACGCAATTCGTACTTACGAAAGATTCCAATTTTGTTTGGGCAGCGTTAGTAACCGTTTGTCACGTCAAGTTTGGGATAAAAAGACGTTTTGGGCAAGAGGAAGGGCGAACATTGCTATAATTTCACGTTGACGCACTACCGCACACTTAGTAACAATTACATCTGTTAAAACGTTTTTTTTCAAACTTTGGAATCGCAAGTTATGTATTAGCATTCTGCTAGCCAATGAGATGCAAGAGGAACTATTTGAATTTCGAAAACGTTCTGACAGAATACACTTGTTTTCGAACGTGCACATACACACAACATAACAAACTCGCCGTTTCGTATCGACAAATCAATTTCTTCTCTAATATTAGCATGAGCAATAATAATAATAATAATAATGATAATAATAATAATAATAATGATAATAATGATATAGTATAGAAAACTAAAAATTATTTTTTGGTATAGGCAAAATTTCACATTTGTATCTAGATTTAAGTATCTTGTGTATGAAAATCACGAGGATATGCAGATACAAAACAGGTGTAGCACGAGAGAAGTGAGTAACAGCCCGTATATCGTCGGCTGAGCATAAAGGTTGAAATTATTCCCATGATATGCGAGTACAGGTATACACGTGTATGTATATGTGCACGTACGTATAAGGTGTCGATAGCCCGGCGATAACAAGAGCCGCGCGCGAGTCGTGAGTACAATATTATGTGTGTGTGTGTATATATGCACGTTCACGAGAAAGAGAGAGCCCGCCTCTTCGCCGGCCTTCTTTCACAAGTTTCCTCCAATCGACGACGTTCATCACAGCAAACCTTTATGTATATATATATATATATATATATATATATATATATATATATATATATATTTTATGTATGCACTTTGTATGTGTATATGTATACATATATCTCGGCTAATGGTGTCCGAGAGCTGTTACAAGAGTGTGGTTCTGTCGCATACGGTAGGCATACATACCTCTAAATTCCTCCGAGTCTCGCTAATTTATAAAAATGATTTTAGAGTTGCTTGAGAAGCGGTTTTGATTGTTGGTCTTTAAAATAATTTACTTTTTGCGCGTATTTCAGAACAAATACCAAAAGTGCTGCAGCTTTAACATTTGAAGTACGCTGTGCACAATAATGAGTATTTTTTTATACATGAAAAAAAAACAAAAAAATTCTTTTGTGTATTTTAAATTAAAATACTTAACCGAAACAAAAAAAAGTTTTTAATTTCAAGATTTTTTTATCAGTTATTGAGTAGAAATAAGTGGTATTATTTTTGTAAAATTTTTAATTTTTTACACTTTGTCTGATCAAAATTGTTATGTTTCAAGTTAAGTGATAAATCTATTATATATGGAATTTTCAAAGTTGAAACAATGTATTTAAAATGAAGAATTCGTAATTCATTTTGTTAAAGGAAAAAAAGTCGCTCATCAAGCAATCGAAAAAAATCTCAAGAGAACACGATGTATCGGTATCTACTACGGACCAATATTATTATCATTATTATGCGCATTCGCGTACGTTATCTCAATAATTTCACAATTTATACTCGAATATTATACTTTTGTCGCATATGTATATATATTATTTCGCAGCTCAAATATCATCCTTAAAGTTTATCGTCAAAATCTTTCCACTTTCTCCCTCACACGCGATCACAACGAAAAATATCTACAAAAAAAAGAGGCTCACTCGCATCGCCGAGAGGTACAACGAGCCGTTATATTATTTAGCAATGTCCCTCAAAAACACACCACTTGTCATCATCCGATCGAAACTCTCGTTTCCACACTCTATATATTCACGCGTACTCAAAGCATCGCTCCACACATGTCGCTTTGGTAAAAAACGATGATACACCTATAGTAACTCGAAATCGACACCAACGAAGAAAAAAAAAAAGAAGAAGAAGAAGAAGAAAGAAAATCACGTTTCCGATTCCCCGGACATCATCATCGAGAGTCCAGAGCGCACTAAATTAAAAAAAAAAAAAAAAAACGAAATAAAACTAGTCACCGATAAAAGTCTCAAGTCGCGGCCCCGTAGCTCGGCCTCTGGAGCGCCGCGTCGACCCCCGGCTGCAGCCCAAATCCCGGCGCCGCGTAGATCGGCCGCGGCATCGACAGCACGATCTTCTTGCCCAGCTCCTCCTCCTCCTCCACCACGAGCCTTTTGCCCACCTCACCCGGCTGCCCGTGGTGATGGTGGTGGTGATGGCGCTGATGATCGTCGGGTGCTATGATGTTCTCGATCGTAAAGGGCTTCTTGGCCTTTTTTCCGATCTGCTGGTGCAGCTGGTGGTGGGGGTGGTGGTGGTGGTAGTGCTTACCCCCAAGGCCGAGGCCAGCCTGGCTCGAGGAGATGGCCGTGCTCGGTATCGTCGGGGCCTCGAGCATCAGGGGGTAGTCCTCGCGGGCCGCGTAATACGGATCCGCGCCCCCGCCGCCCGGGTAGCTCGGTTGACCCGCCGTCGCCCCGAGGTAGCCAGTAGCCCCGGTGCTGCCCGTGCCCCCGAACGCCGAGAAGGTCCAGGAGGCCGCGGTCTGGAGGAGGGCCGTCGTCTCGAAGGGGGCCGGCTCGCCCGTGGCGCCCTCGACGAGGCGCTGGCGGGCCTCGGGGCTCAGGAGGTAGTAACTCGGGCAGCCGAGCGTGGCCGCCGTCGTGGCCGCGGTGCTGGTCGTCGTCGGGGCGAGGGTGGCAGCGGTGGGGGCGCCTTGGCTGGCGACGGCGGCCGCGGCGAGCATCATTCGCCTCTCCTGCATCTCCCAGCGCATGAGGTCCTCGCGCAGGCGGTGGAGGTTGGCGGAGCTGAGGCCCCCGATGCCGGTGGTCGGGGCCATGGGGGTCGAGGTGGGGCGGTCGAGGACGGGTGACGGGAGCTCGGCGCTGGATCGCGGGGGTGGCATTGCCGAGGCGAGGGCTTGGAGCTCGGTCTTGAGGAGCTCCTTGTCGGGCTTGTGGAGCTTGAAGCGCTTGCGGCGGCGTAGTAGGCTGCCGTTCTCGAACATCGACAGGGCGGCCGGGTGGAGGGCCCAGTAGGCGCCTTTGCCGGGCCTGTGCGGACCCCGTGGCACCTGTAATCAGTCAACCGATAGGTTTCGAGGAATTAGCCGTCATATAATTTTTCACGTGCTTTTAACACTAATAGAATAATATAGGTTTACCACTGATAACTATGGTCTCTAGAGTGTCTACACCTTCAGTGCTGGATATTTTGCGAAAATCTTTACGGCTGAAATGGTTATTTAATTTGTAAGATTTATACGTCAAACATATACATTAGAGCTTCTCCAAGTTACGCTCTACACCGTTAACTTTCGGTATCTATTATTTCTCGGATCGATTAATACGGTATACTGAGATCATCAGGACGAACAGCGTAAAAACTTACACGGCGCGAATGAAGTTGAACGCGATCTCTTAACTTTTACTTGCTCTTTCAGGAGAAATACAGTAATGATTAGTATTACAGACAACATGGCGATTTTTCTCTCGTGAAAAGTAAACTGCAGTTAATTTTTTTTTAATAATATTAATTTTTTTCCTTTCCTGGGACATGAGAATTTTAACTTTGATGATAAAAAGAAGAAAATAGGAGCGTTTAACTGAACTTGACTATTTTTTCAGGTTTAACGAAATCCCTTGATTTTGATCGAGTGCAATATGTACCTTAAACATAAGTATATTGTAAGTTAGTAGCGTTTTGTCATCTAGGGACTTTTTACAATTCAGACCAGCAATTACCATTTTTACAATTTTCACGGTAAAACCTATATCTATACCAGATGTACAGGTGTAAGCAGTAAAAAGTTATTCTTATGTACAAACGACGAAACATCACTGCAGGCATTATTGTATTATATTTTTTCCTGTGCAGCAAATTAAACATCGATATGTATAAAACCTCGTTGAAAAATCTGCTACAATCTCCAGCCCGTAGCACCACATATTACATAAAATAGAAAGTTACACTCGGCGATATAATATACCTCCTGAATCGACGCTCGTTATACTTCCACCGAATATAAGCACAGTCAAGTGAGCAACTCGTCTTTGATGTAAAAAACGCCATGTTTCACCCTGATTTAAAATAGTCCATTAACGTGCTGACTACCTATTTTTACCTCCCGTAAAATTTATCGCATATGACACCGTATACGAGCAGATGGTTTTATCACGTCCACCTAACAAATGTATACGTGTATATGTACAAGAGAGGGGGGGGGCTCGTTTTTACGTCGTACAGCATCTCGTGCGTATTAACCCACGAAAACCGCAACTCTCGTGTTAAACATCTCATGTACGCGACCATAGTGTGTATACATGAAGGAGCCGAATATAATATATAGCGTTGCGCTCGGGCGCATGCACTTACGGCTTCCGCAAAGGCTCGAGCGCTAATTGTTTGATCGTAATTCAAAAAGGCCAATAAAACGAAACGAAAAATATAAACCAAACCATACGAGTATACTTTTAACTGTCGGACCGACACCGAGTGCGTAAGTGTTTAAATTAATTGCCGTGCACGTATAACGCCGCCTTATTTCGACTTACAAAGGTATAAGGCGCAAGTGTGTGTGTCAGTACACGTGTATGGGCATGCGTTGTTATGTGTATATACGTCGGTAAACGAGCGAGTACAATTTAAAGTTACGAAACTCATCGGGTTATATATATATGTATTATAGACTCTCTTGTGTGTTTTATTCAAGAGTTTGATGTATGGACGAGGTGTACCGCGGTAACTTTTACTTTTTGTTGTAAAAGTTGCGGAAAACGTGTACACGCGGCGAATTATACTTCTCCTTTTCTCGTTATCCAAAAAAATTTGCGCCCCCTTTTTTCCCCCTATTACGTAAAAGGTGCACACCAGTTGGGTTTTTTTTTAACATGAAGTTCCGCGTTGGAGATCTATACTCAGTAACTATCTTTTTTTTTCGAAATAATGTAAGAAAATTGATGATACAGTTTTATTGACAATCAATAATAAAAAAAAAAGGTTATCCTTGGACAACAACGGTCGAGACTAAACCAGCGTTACGAGGAATTACATGTGAACAAGTCGAGCATGGAGGGCAAAACCAATAAAGCTTTTAATTGTCCGTTAGATTACCGATAGTGAGCGCAAAAACTCGAGCTGACTCGATACCGTAAACCCTTACACTAAGTCCTGGCTGTTGTAAAAATTCTTCGAGCCACCCACCTGGTAATCATTCGATAATAATAACGCGAGGTGATGAAAAAAAAAGTATTCAACATAGCGGGGTAACGATATACATATACGTAGATTAATAAGTAAAATACACGGGCAGATGGACAAACCATTGGCTAAATAGGATGTAATTATCGCACGCGCGCCATTGGCTCCTGATTGCCGTTGACAGTGGCCGCAAAGACTCGTACATACGTGCACGTACATCCTATACGTACACACGCTTCCAGATACGATCGTTCGAGATAACAATTATACACCACACACGTCACGGGTACAATGAAGGATACCCCCCGTCTCTTGTAAGCAACAGTGTTGCGTGTATATTGTATCTATATGCGTCGAAGTAAACTAGTTTCTTTTTTTATTCATCGGGACACGAAAGTTTGCGACAGTTCACGCATTTGTATGTCGACGGTCTCTGTGTCCTTCGCAGGAGTAGTGTCGTGTGCTTTTTTAAAATATTCATGTTGCTCGTTTGTCAATTAAAATTTCTTGTTTTCACGGGTAAGTGTATGATATATAGGCTCTGATTTTCTATTCAATCTCTAGGTAGGCGCTAAATTTCTGGTTTACTTTTAAAATGATTGAAAAAAAAACCTCTTGTTGGAAAAAACATTTGAGCACTTTTTTGATCATAACAGAGTTGGAATGGTATTTTAGAAAAGCTAGTGAAAAATGGCTATTTTAGAGATTTCTCCAAATGACATTTAATACATCGTTCAACATCGACACAATATGACGTATAGAGTCTTTCGCCTACCTACGTTAGGAAAGTTTTTTTTTTTTTTTTTTCATCGCGCAAGTATAGCTGTAGACGTGGCGTAAAGCTTATATGCACATTACAAGTGTACACCCAACAACACAGGGTTTCGTGCTTTTCAGCAATGTAGAGCCGCGATTTTGCAAACGCGCGTGCAAAAGTGTTACATTCTTATGCACACACCAGACGATTGCCTCGACCCCCATCGTCGTTGTAAATCTCAAAGATAATACCTATACACTGTAATGTTAATAATTATGCACACCTCGGCTCTCTTATCTAAAGTTAAATTATCGCGCATCATTATTATAATGTAAAACAACATATTGTACAGCTTTTGGGGCGCGCGTTGTGCCTCTTATGTATATGCGTGTGCGTGAGGTTTAATTAATTTCTTTTTAATTTAATTAGCGAGGCGCACGGCAACGCAAATCACAGACTAACTTCTAAAGGTGTATGTGTACACAGTGTAAGCATGTGTTTTGTGTGTGTGGAATTTTTGCTTCGCAAAGATGTGGTGAATTTCATAATTTCAAAGGTATACACGGGCACAATGCTTGTAATCATTTCACATAAAAAAAATATATATGTATATAAATAAAAATTTAATGTATTATTCATTAAAAAACGCGTGGTTTAATTAATTGCGAGATAAATATCCTCAAATTATCCGGCCGGCGATTTTCATAATATTTATTTTAAAGAAAACTTTAAGAGAATATTATCCAAGAAAACTGCATCAGGGTTTATACGTATGTATAGCCGATTTCGCAACATCAAGATAATATTTCAAGAGATTCGTTTGAAATAATTAACCAAGCCGGTGTATACTTAACTCGGCAAATTATTCAATGTGGATACACACGTATACGTATACGCGCGCGCTACCGATTGTAATTCATGCATTTTAGATTTCATTTTTTTCTTTTTTTTCTGTTTTTCTGTTTCTTTTTTCTTTTTTCTTTTTTCCTCTATACACAAGACAGCGTATAATTCCCAACTAAACCCCGTTGCCGGAAAATTACCTTGTGTACTTAAATAATGTTTTCGCAACAATTACACGTATACACGAACAATGTATCGCGTGGCGGCGTGCTGCGTGATGTATGAAAAATTCAATTCAACGCCACCGCGCCGACGACTTATGTGTGTGTGCATAAGAAACTCATCAGAAGTTACGGAGAAAGATATTATTAATGCAAACATGAGAGCCGAGTATAGACAGACTTTGAGGAGTCGTACTTATTTTGTCATGGCACGTTCGTGCGAATCAGGGTAAAGTATAGCGCCTCTGAAATTTCCATATTTAGTCACTTGACGGGAGTCGAGTAGACAGACTTTCGCCGAGGGTTGTGTGGAAAATTTTCGTGCCCAGCATTTATGGGTTCGAGTGAAAGTATTTTGATAAATTTTTTGTTGTTCTCTCATTGGAAAAAAAAGTGTCGGTTGGTTCAAGAAAAAAGTAAAAAAGCATGTGGTTTTTTTTAAGTAGTTCCGACGCCCGGGAGCGAGGAAGAAATATCTCGATTTTTTGGGCAAAAAGCAGGTGTTGGATCGTCAGAAGTGATGGGACATGCAGTGCCGATACCACGGAGTGTGAGGAACAATTTATTTTTCAAAACAGCTGATGCTTTTCACACACATCCAAAAAGTGGGGATCCAAGTAAATGAATCTTGTAGCGATATTTTCGTCACATTGGCATTATGTTGGTACAGGTACATGATAAGAAATCACATGCTATAATTACCGTAAAGATTAAATTATCTCGTATCTAGATTCTCGAATTTCAAAGTTTACCAAAGTTGTTTACCAGCGCTGGTAAAATGTTTACACAACGAATTAATTTTTATCTCACATTAATCACAATGAATGGAAAAAATAAATCCGCAACAACACACATGCACGGTATAGACATAAATCTCATGAATAACATCGTCCCACACATATTGTGCACTTATGGTGGGACCAACCCCCAACTTTTTGGTTTCTTCTTTCGAAACATTCCCACGCGCTTCTCCCTAGACGACCCTCATTCAATTATTAGCGCGCGATTTATGCAAATGAAAACTGCAGAAACAGCGTCGCTATATATATGCAT